CCAAAAAACAAAAACAAAAAACCAACAGAAATAATTACACAGATACCTAAAGAGATGATGACCATAATGAAAGACATGGTTAGTGAATCTAGAGTAGATACAGATAAAAATAATCTTAAGAAAGTGATGGAAACCATGAATTCCCAATGTAGGAAAGAACTGGATTCTGTAAAACATATCCAGAAGATTAAAAATTCTTTTTTTTTTTTTTTTGGTACTGGGGATCAAACTTGCACTTTCGAGGCAGGTGGTAGGACCACTGAGCTAAATCCCCAGCCCTAAAAATTCTATTGAAAATATACACAGCATAGTTAACTAATGTGAAGACAGAATGTTAGATTTAGGAAATAGGGTTGTGATTAGCTATAAGATTTCTTTTTTTTTCCCAGTACTGGAGAACAAACTCAGGACCTTGTGCTTGCCAGTTAGGCCTGGCACTGCTGAGCTACATCTCTGGCCTGAAAGAGTTCTTTGAAATAGCAAGGGGCCATGAAAAATCAGTTAAACAGCTGATAGATGATGCAAAGAAGATTAATATGAGATTAATTGGAATCACTGAAAAATCAGAAGATAGCACAAGGGACATAAAAAACCTGTTAACAGATGTAGTAGCAGAAAACTTTCCAGGCACAGTAAAATAATTTGATATGTTAGGCATAGAAACTCCCAATTAGCCATGATCAGAAAAAAAGGCACCAAAGCATATAATAGTCAAAACTCCAGAAATTCAGCAGAAGAACAAAATGTTAAAAGCTGTTAGAGAAAAGAAACAAATCACCTATAAAAGAAAATCCATTAGATCACAGCAGACTTTTCAACACAAACCCTTAAGTCAAGGAGAAGTTGGTGTGAAGTATTTCAAGTCTTTAAAGAAAACAGCCTTCAACTCAGATTTATATGAATTGATGTAGAAATAAGATATTTCCATGATTATGAACACCTGAAGAAATTCATGTCCACCAAACTAGCATTCCACAAAGTTCTAAAGGATATTCTAGAAAAAGATAATGAAGCAAATAATTTCAAGATTTCAAATGTAATAAATGTACCAGCCAAGGCAAGCAAATAGAGAAAGGGAACCAACAACAGGAAAATAATATATTGACAAGGAGAAGTCAATACCTATCAATTACAACGATTAGTGTGAATAGTCTCAATTCCAATTAAAGGAAATAGATTAGAATAGATCAAAAATTAAGATCCAACAATATGCTACATACAAGAAACCTATTGAACTTGAAAAGAAACTCATAGACTGAAAGTCAAAGGATGGAAAGAATACTCCATGCAACAGAAACCTAGAAAAAAGTAGGGGTAGCTATTCTATTTGCAGAAAGTGAATTTTAAGCCAAAACTCATCACAAGAGACAAAGAAGGTCACTAAATAGTTGTTAAAGGAAAAATCTGTGAGAAAGAGGTAACAATTATAAGTATATATGTACCAAATAGTGGCACACCCATCTATATCATATAAACACCAATGGATAAAAAAATCAGATAAGCACTAATATAATTTTAATGGGGACCTCCATACTACATTGTCACAAATAGATAAATCAACTAGACAAAAAACAACAAAGAGAAATCAGAACCAAACCAAACCTTTGAAGAAATAAGACTTAGTAGAAATCTACAGAGTGTTCCACACTACAACAACAGAATATACATTCTCATCTGTACACAGAAATTTATTCGAAATAGACCAAATACTATCTCATAGAACATGCTTAAGTAAACACAAAGGAATTGAAATTATCCCATGCATATTATTAGATCATAGTGTAATGAAATTGGAAGTCAATGGCAAAAGACACCACAAAAATCGATAGAACACCTGCAAATGAAATACCACCCCCCTGAACAAGCAATGAGTCACTGCTGAAATTGAAGAAGAAATTTGATAGTTTCTACAATTAAAACATAATTCCAGTACAACATACTGGAACATATGGGATGCAATGAAAGCCCTCCTATGAGGGAAATTTATAGCAGTGAATTCTTACATCAGAAAAACTGAGTGGGCTTAATCTTTGCTGAATTCTCAAAAACTATAGAGATCTAATGCCACCTCAAACTTTGATGAAATTAAAAGGGAAGCAATATTTCCAAATATATTCCTGGAAGGAAGCATTACTCTGATAATAAAAACCACAGAATGACCCAACCAAGAAAGAGAACTACAGGCCAATCTCCTTAATGAACATAGATGCAAAAATCCTTAATGACCTACTGGCAAACAGAGTGCAGCAAATCATCAAGAAGATTATACATCATGACCAAGGAAGATTCATTCCAGTGATGCAAAGATGGTTCAACATATGCAAATCAATAAGTGTAATATACCGCATCAACAGAACCAAGGACAAAACCCACATAATCATCTAAATAGATGCAGAAAAAGCACTTGACAAAGTCCTCCCATTCATTATGAAAGCCCTACAGAAAATTGAAAAAAGGTCTTTACCCCAATCTGATGGAAACTTCTATGACAAACCAACAGCTAATGTCATACTAAATGGTCAAAAACAAAGCTTTCACTCTAAAATTAGGAACAAGATAAGGATGCCCACTATAACTGCTACTGTTCAATGTAGTTCTGGAAACATTAGCCAGAGCAATTAAGAGAGAGAAATAAAGGAAAATATAGGAAAGGAAGAAATTAAATTATTATTACTTGCTAATGACATGTTACTTTACATAGAAGACCCCCAAACTCCACCAAAAGACTCCTAGATTAAATAACCAAATTTGGTAGCATAACAGGATATAAAGTTATCACTCAATTATCAATAGCATTTATACACAAATAACAGTTTCACTTAGATAGGAATCAGGGAAACCACACCTTTCACAACAGCATCAAGCAAAATGAAATACATAGGCAGCAATCTAACAAAGGAAGTATAGGACCTATACATTGAAAACCATAGTACTCTGAAATAGGAGATCAAGGAGGCTGTCAGGAAATGGAAAGGTATCCTTTGTTCTTGGATAGGCAGAACCAATATATTGAAAATGGGCATACTTCTAAAATTTTTATTACAGATTTAATGCAGTCTTGATCAAAATACTAATAGCATACCTTACAGAACTAGAGAAAACAGTTGTAAAATTCAAATGGAACCAGAAGAGATCCATAATAGCAAAAGCAATTGTAGTTAACAAGAATATGGCAGGAAGCATCACATTCCCCAATTTGAAGTTATGCTACAAAGCTACTGTGATAAAAACAGCATGGCACTGGTAATAAAACAAACAAACAAACAAACAAACAGACCCAAAGATTAATGGAGCAGAATAGAAGATGCAGAAACAATTTCACACTCAGGTACCTTATCTTTGACAAAGGAGCCATCAAAATAAGAAAGATGTCCATTTTAATAAATGGTGCTGGGAAAACTGACTTTCCACATGCCAAAGATTGAAACAAGACCCATATCTCTAAACATAAACTAAACTAAAATTGAAATGGATCAAAGCTCTAAATATTAAAACAGAAACACTAAATCTGCTGAAGATAGAATAGGTACAACTCTTGAAGACATAAGTGTAGGCAAAGACTTTATGAACAAAACTTTGATGGCATGGGAAATATTACAAATAATTAGCAACTGGGATCACATCAAATTAAAAAGCTTTTGTACAGCAAAAAACACCACTAAGAGAGTGTAGAGATAACTCAGAATGGGAAAAAAATTTTGCCAGGTACTCCTCAGACAATGGACTAATATCTAGAATATATAAAGAACTCAAAAAATAAATAAGACCCCCCCAAATTTAAATACCCAATCTAAAAATGGGCATCTGAAGCAAATACATACTTCTCAGGTAAAGAAGTACAAACAGCAAATAATATATATGAAAAAATATTAACATCACTGGTCATTTGAGAAATGCAAATTAAAACACTGAGATTCCATCTCCAGAAAGAATGGCTATCATCAAGAAATCAACTAATAACACTGGCTAAGCCATGGGGAAAAGGATCCCTTCTCCACTGTCAGTCATACTGTAGAGTGATAATAGAATCTCCATGGAATCAGTATGGAGATTAGTCAAAAGACTAAACCTAGAGGTTCCATTTTATCCAGCTATTCTTCTAGGCATCTTCTCAAATGAGTTAATTATCATACTGCAGTGATATGCGAAGTCATGTTTATAGCAGCACAACTAGTAATAGCTAAATATTGGAAACAACCCATATGTCTGTCATAAAATGAATGAATAGAAGAAATATGGTATTTATATACAATGGAGTACTATTCTGCTATAAAGAGAGATAAATTTGAGTCATATTTAGTTAAATGGATGCACCTTTATATCATAATTTTAAGTGAAATAAATGACACAAGTCTAAGTATTGCATTGTTTTGTGAGAAAATCTAAGGGTAAACAAGGAACAAAATGGAGGGTAGATATGGGGAAGTAAGAAGGACATGTTCAAATGGCAAGGGGATCAGGGAGGAGGATCGGGGAAAGGGATGGGGAGAAAGGGAAAATAAATTGAAAAGGAAAGAATGGAAGGAAAAATGAAAACAAATCAAGTGTAAATGGTGAGGGGAAATGGCATTGAAGGGAGGGAAGGTGAATGGGTAAAAAAATTAAAATGCATTATGTTCAGGTAGAAAGTCCCTATGATAAATGTGAGCACTATGTTTGGCAAATGTGAACTAATGAAAATTATAAAAAACAGAGAAGGTGTATCAGGTGAAGCCAACAGTATGAATAAATAATATAGTTAATAGTATAATTATAATATAATATAATAACTATATAACTATAATATAATAATAATATAGTTAGGAATGAACAAATCACTCTCAGGGGCCAGTAAGGTAATTCTTAACTGTGGGTAAACTTTTTGGAGAACAAGTAGAAAGTGATTAGATTATGAAAGGTCTGGAAATAACTCACAATTGCAACAAAAGCATAAAATATAAAGTAAATATTAAAGATGGACAGTATCTTAACTGAGTAAAGAAATGTTTCTCTTTGTTTAGATTGAAGACATAGCAGTAAACTTGTGGAACTGGGGAATTGCCAAGAGAGTAGATTTGGTTATAAGTGAAGAGCAGACTGCTAAATGTATGTATACATTTTGTGACTCATTATGCAGAGTCTTCTTACTATTCATTAGTGTTCTTGCAGGTTTTTTTTTTTTTTTTGGTACCGGGGGTCGAACTCGGGTCCTTGCGCTTGTGAGTCAGGCCACCGAACCACTGAGCTAAATCCCTGGCCCTGTTCTTGCAGTTTTAATAATGTCTTGACCAGTTCTTAGCTATTTGTTAAAACCAAACCAAACAATCCATAGCATTTGTTTCTCAAACAAATACTTCCCTCAGTTTTATGATTTTTCAGAGGTTAGTCTAGAGGTGAAGAGCAAGGATGATTAAATGATGGGAAAATGAGAACTGTGGAAAATGTTTATAGATATGGATTATTTCCTGTGGAAAAGAGATGATAAAAATTTTCAGGATTCTGAAAGAACATCTAAGTCATTTCCCCTTCTTTGCTAATAATGAAAAATCATCATCTTGTGGGGAATTTGGATTATAGAAAGTGTAAAATGTAGTTTCTTCATGAGGTAGCTTGATCAATGTTGGGATGAATTACCCAGGAAATCCAGAAGTTCTTTATACCCGCAAGAACACAAATCAAGAGTAAGAGCAACAAAATAAAATCTCCAAACTAATTTCATCATTTTGGATGCTTTGGATGTGGTTCACTGTCTGGTACAGTTCTAATTATTTAGCTAAACAATCAAAGTCTAATGTGCAGACAGTTACTGTTTTTCAAGTATAATGACAGCAAACGTAGTTATGCATGCGGCTTGCCCTACTATAGAAGATACATTGAGGCCAAAAATCAAAGGGTAAATCTCTGGACTGCTTGACTTTGTATAGACAAATGACTTTTGTCTGTATATAACAAATACAGTTTACTAAGCCAGGCTTGGTGTCACACACCTGTAATCCCAGCACTCTGGGAAGCTGAGGTAGAAGGATAGCAAGTTTGTGTTCAGCCTTGGAAATTTGGTGATTTAGAAAGACCCTGTCCAAAAACATCAAAAAGGGCTGGGATGTAGCTCAGTGTGAAGTCCTGTGTTAAATCCCTAGTAATGCCAAAAAAATTACTAGTATCTTTTGAATATAAACAAAACTATATACAACTCCAGTGTGGATACAGGGTAATTATTGATTAATATAATCAAATGATACACTTACTCATGTGTTTTCTCCTTCATTAGCATTGTTGGAGAACATTTCTCTCTAACTCTAAGTGTTGATGTCAGTGCTCCCGGGAGCCTTAGATACTATTAAGAGGAAGGGTTAGGATTTTTTTGTTGCCGAAAGAGTACACAAGAGAATTGTGTGATATTAGAATGCACTGATTCTTAAATATTGAGGATATGGTAGATGAAGTGAGTATTGCAGCCTTAGTATCTCTCCCAGTATACTGTCTCACTACATGTATCAGTTTTAATCAGATGTTTGGGTGTTATGTGTATTGTACTTTTTTGATATGGTGGAGAATAGAATATAGTGCAGAAAGCCCCCAGTTAGAGATTTGCCCTGAAAATATATTGATCAGAAGATATTTTGTCTCCTTAAAAACAAATTGAATTTGACCCAGCCATCCCTCTGCTGGGTATCTTTCCAAAATAATTAAAAGAATCATGTCACAATGATATATGCACACCTATGTTTATAGCAGCACAGTTTGTAACAGCTAAAACTTGGAAACAGCCCATTTGCCCATCAGTTGGAGACTGGATAAAGAAGATGTGGTTTCTATAAAATGGAATACTACTCAGCCATAAAGAATGAGACATTAGATTCATCCATAGGAAAATGGATACATATTGAGGATATACTCCTAAGTGAAATAAATAAGTCACACATGTGTAAATACCGAATAGTACATAAGATCCTAATGAGATAATTGACAATGTGAAATAGGAAGAAAAGGGCTAAAGGCATAGGGAAAATGGGAAGGTTAGGGGAAAGGTAATAAGGGAAAGGAAAAAAACATGAGAAAATGAACAAATGGAAATAAAATGTTTGTAAATGGGGAGGGGAGGAGGGGGGGAAGGGAGGGCAGGGATAAGGGGAAAAAATGAGAACCAAGACCTCAGGTATAGTGGAAATAAAATGTTTGTAAATGGGGAGGGGAGGAGGGGGTGAAGGGAGGGCAGGGATAAGGGGAAAAAATGAGAACCAAGACCTGTCATGTAAAGGTACAAGATCCCAACAATGAATGTGACTGTACTGTATACCTAAAATGTACCAATAAACTTAATGAGGAAAAAATTAACAAAAATAACCAAACCAAACCAAAACAAAAAACAAATTCAGTGTGCCTGGATTATGACATGTGATGAAAAAGTCATAAAAATTTATAAACTACATTTTAAAAATTTATTTGGAAAACTTGGGGAATGATGAACAGAATTAGGAAAGCCTAGAATAGAAGATGAGTTGTAAATTTTAGTTTTAGACTTGTTGCATTTAAAGTAACAGTGAGGTTGGAGATATGAGACTGGAGTTTATGAGAAAAATCTGGGCTGGACTATAGATTTGGCAGTTATTCATTTGAAGATGATAGTTGAGGCTACAGGAGTAGTTGAGTTTGCTGTGGGGGAAATAAATAGGAGTGGTTCTTAAACATTGCTGTAACTCAGAATCACTTGCAAAGCCTATTAAAATACAGATTCTCAGGCTCTACCATTGGTGGTTTTGATTTCTTTGGGTTCAGGATGAAATATGTGTATAATTTGAAAACAGCTTTCAGATATTCTCATGCATACCGAATTTTAAGAATCCTTGTTATTGAGAAAACATAGTATGATATTTTTAACTTTGCATCTTCTAGTTAAGAACTGGAGGAAAAAAAAAACAAAACAAAAAAGAAGAACAGGAGACCACATGGAATGGTTAAACAATTCTAAAGGAGACTCACTACCCAGTTATAGAGTGCATAGTCATTAAGGATTGTCACACCATGTTATGGCAGGGAGTTGGTGAAAGGGACAAAGCAAAACACTAGAATAAAGATACATGGCATACATTATGCCCAGGATCTGGAAAAAATGAGTTAAAGCTAAATAAAAGATAAAAATGAAATGTTCATAAATTCCAAAGGGCCCAACGCTACCAATTTGTCTAAAGTCACTTGAATATCAGCCTGTGGACACTGATAGAAAAGAATAAGGCAGATGTTCCAAGAAGTCAGTCACCAACCACCTAACCAAGATGTTTATAATACAGGGAGGTCGGTAATATGTTGGTGAAAAGACAAGTATAGAGCAACAGCAACACAGAAAACATACTAAAATAGCCTCAGCTACGTTTGGCTTGAAGGCTTATTGATAATAAATGTCAGTAGCTGAATTGTGAATGTGACATGGGACCAGACAATTTCTTAAACTAAGACATTTTCTGTACACTGACCCTGCTCAATGCAAAGGCAGGATATTTCAGGACAGGGAAGTAGTATTTTTCAAAAAGATTACGGTCATTGTGAAATCTTCCTGTTAGGTCAGGGATGGTAATCTATGGGAGTGCAGTTTCAGTACAGTGGTTAAGGATGCAAAAGAGATTGCAGGGCTCTAAGGAGATGAGTGAGTAGCAAGAAACAAATAGTAGATAAGACTATTCAATTTAAGAAGTTTAGCAGTAAAAGGAGGAGAAATGGGATAAAAGCTTGAAACGCAGTGGATTAGTTGATTTCTTTTTCAAGGTGGGAAGAGGAGATAGCTAAGTTTGAAGTTTGAAGGGAAGAAATAAATTGAGAGTGAGGTACTGAATATACTTTTAGATAGAGAAGATAATTGAGAGTAGGGTATGTGAGAATATTAAGTCAGTAAATTTTGACAAAATGAAAGGAAATATTTAAAAAAATTTTCTAAACTGAAAATTCAACTCAATGTGAATATGTGATTAGAAATTACTTTACCAAAACTTTTTTTCCAGAACAAGTTAACTTTATTAAGAGATGAATAGATTTTACATTTCATTTGGACAATAAAATCTAATGATGCCAATTACCCTGTAATTTCAGCAGGACTAAACTCTTTTGATATGGAATATTTATTAGAAATGGTCTTAACGTAGGTGGAATGGCTGCTGAGTTCTAACATAAGGGTGACTAGTTATATGCAAAGTCATTTTTTAAAAAACTTGGATATGCTTTATAAAATAAACTACAGAAATAAAGAGATTACAGTTATGAAGACTTTACTGTTTTCAGGGAAAATGAATTGTATCATGAATGCATCTGTACTTTTCAAACTATATTTAAGTAATTTTTATGTCTCCTAAGAAAAGATATATTTAGAAACTTTCACACTTTCAAAGAAAAATCTAAAACTGTCCTGATGTCTAGAGATTTTGTCAGATGTTAATAGTTCTAGGTTCCAATTCTAGTTGGAATTATTCTTTTGTTAGCATGATACACACAAAAGCATCATATGGAATCAGTTATCTTCACTGGGTTTTGGGGATTTAACATCTGCAAAAATTAAAGTTTGATAACCAAACATCTCTAACTGAAGCATTAAGCAAATGATTCATTTGATAAATCTCAGATCTTTTACTTTCAGCAACTGATTATTTAAAAAGGCCTTTAAAATTGTTATTTTGGGGCTGAGGGTATAGCTCAGTTGTAGAGCAGTAACCTAGCATCCATGATGCCCTGTGTTCTAACCTAGTACTGCAAAAACAAACAAACATTGTTTAAACAACAGAACTGGTATCAATTAAATCCTTTTCCTCTTTGTGTACATATAAATGGAGAAATAATGTTTTGCATTAATAAGTACCTAATTACTGTTTTGCAGTGCATCATGTTGCTTGTAAGTTGGTGTGTATGTGTGACGCCTCAGTTGCTTCAGAAGAAACTATTCGAAGACAGATTTTGGTAAGTCCAAATTGAGGAGAAAGTGAGTAAAATGAGATAATTGTTACTCCTATGAAAATGGGTGAAGCTAGTATAAAACTGGAAGAGGTTGCATCCTTCAGTATTATCCATGTTCCTTTTATCATTCATATATCTGCTATAGCAGTACTACAGTTGTTACTATATAGTGGTTAAGTGAAGTAATATTGAACACATAATTCTGGATTTATGGATTACTTTTTGCTTTTAGCATCTTCAACTTGATAGAGTAACAGTTTCTCCACCTAAGGGGGAAATGATATTATTTAGTCTCAAAGGAACTTTTCTATATATATATATATAAATAATTAGACTCGGTTTCATTGTGGCATCTTCATATGTGCATATAACATACTTTATGCCCCATCATTACCCTCTCTTATCCCTTCCCCCTTCCTAGACACCTTTCCTTTTGTTCAATAGAAGGATTTTTCTAGTGAAAAAGTTGAACTCTTAAGTAAAGAAAGGAGTAGAGGATTTTTTTCTATTTTTAAATTAATTGGTTAATTTGTATGAGGTCTTTCTCTGTTGCTCAGGTTGGCCTGGAATTCCTGAGCTCATTTGACCATCTTGCCTTGGCCTCCTGAGTAGATGGGCCTATGGGTGTGTGCTGCTGTAGTCAGCAGAAGTACAGGATTTGAAGTCTAGAGACCTGGGTCTTAATATTAGATCTGTGATATGAATACCAACTATGTGAATTTGGAAGATTACTTGGCTTTCTCATATGTAAAATGAGAGTAATATTATCCTAGAAAATTATAGTGTTAAAGTTACAGTTTTTGTGAGAAGTGCTTTATAAACTATAATGTGGGCAGATAAATATGCACTAGTAATGTTTGCCACTGTAAATGTTAGGATAACCACGTGATGATTTTCTTACCATATGTGATATAATAAAGCTGGGTTGAATGCAGGGTTTTTCTTGCGTATTTCCCTTCTTCCAAAGATGGTAACCACTTTACTGCCTTCAAACCATTATATTTTGTCCATCTCTTATAAAAATATGTTCATTGGGAAGGCCAGTTGGAATCAAGCTATTCTGTCATGGCTTGAACTGCACAAGTCGTCTTCTTGTGTTTTATTATTATTATTATTTTAAAAATTAATTTTATTGGTACATTTAAAGTATACAATATAATGACATTCATCATTGGAAATTTGTACCTTTACATAATCCATCTTAATTCTTATTTTTTTCCCCATCCCTGACCCTCCCTTCAACCCCTCCACCCCTCCCTGTCTACAAAGACTTTGTTTCCATTTTTTCACATGTATTCCATTCCTTCTTTCCTTTCCTCTACCCCTCCCATTTCCCCTTCCCCTTTGCCCCTTTTCTTCCTATCACATTATCTATTACACCTTTTAGTCCTTATTTACACTTTCAGCTTCTCACACTAGAGAAATTATTCGGTATTTACACTTGTGTCCTATTTATTTCACTCAAGAGTATTGTCTCAGTGTGCATCTAGTTAGCTATAAATGTTTCTAATTTTTTTTTGGTACCGGGGATTGAACTTGGGTCCTTGTACTTACAAGGCAGGTGCCAGAACCACTGAGCTAAATCCCCGGCCCCTCTAATTTTTCATTCTTTATGGCTGACCAGTACTCCACTGTATATTAAAAATACATATTTTTTTATCCAGTCTCCTGTTGATGGGCAATTGAGCTGCTTCCAGGTTTTCACTATCACAAAGTGTGTTGCTATGATCATGAGTGCACACATATCATTGTTTTTTTCCCCAGCTTTAATTGAGTTTATTGGTACATTTTAGGGATACAGTACAGTTACATTCATTGTTGGGATCTTGTACCTCTACATGACAGGTCTTGGTTCTCATTTTTTCCCCTTGTCCCTGCCCTCCCTTCACCCCCTCCTCCCCTCCCCATCTACAAACACTTTATTTCTATCTTTTCATTATCTCACATTTTTTTTCTTTTCCCTTATTACCCTTCCCCTACCCATCCCATCTTCCCTACACCTTTAGCCCCTTCTTTCCCATTTCACAATGTCAGTAATCTTATTAGGATCTTATGTATTATTGCAGTTTATTCACACCAGAGAAACTATTCTGTATTTACACATGTGTGATTTATTTATTTCACTTAGGAGTATATCTTCAATATGTATCCATTTTCCTATGAACAAATCTAATTTCTCGTTCATTATGGCTGAGTAATATTCCATTTTGTAGAAAAACCACATCTTCTTTATCCAGTTACTAACTGATGGGCAAATGGGCTATTTCCAAATTTTAGCTGTTACAAACTGTGCTGCTATATACATGGGTGCGCATACATCACTGTGATATGATTCTTTTAGTTCTTTTGGAAAGATGCCCAGCAGAGGGATGGCTGGGTCAAATGGAACCTCCAGGCCAGGCTCTTTGAGGTATCTCCATATTGATTTCCACAGTGGTTGCACCAGTCTGCACTCCCACCAACAATGGAGAAGGGTTCCTTTCTCCCCACGACCCTGCCAACATTTGTTATTGTGTGATTTCTTGATAGTAGCCATTCTTTGTGGGGTGAGGTGGAATCTCAGTGTTGTTTTCATCTGCATCTCTCGAATGACCAGTGATGTGGAGCATTTTTTCATATATTTACTTGCTGCTTTTACTTCTTTGTCTGAGAAATGTCTGTTCTTTTCGGATGCCCATTTTTGAATTGGGTCTTTATATTTTGGGGGGCTGATTGTTTTGAATTCTTTATATATTTTAGATAATTGTCCTTTGTCTGAGGAGCAGCTGGGAAAATTTTTTTCCCATATTGTAGGTTGTCTCTTAGTTCTGCTGATGGTTTCTTTTGCAGTACAGAAGCTTTTTAATAAAATGAGATCCCAGTTGTTGATTCTTTCTGCTAGTTCCCATGCTACTGAGCAAAAGTCTTTTTCTATGCCAATGTCTTCAAGAGTTCTGCCTAGCTTACCTTCCAGCAAGTTTAGTGTTTCTGTTTTAATATTTAGATCTTTAATCCACTTGGATTTTAATTTAGTGCATGGAGAAAGATAAGGGTCCAGTTTTAATCTGTGGCAGGTTGAAATCCAGTTTTTCCAACACCATTTACTAAAGAGGCTATCTTTCCTCCAATTAGGATGGTCAGTTCCTTTGTCAAAGATGAGGTAGCTGAGTATATCTGGATTTGTTTTTGTGTCTTCCAATATGTTCCACTGATCCTCAGTCCTGTTTCTTTGCCAGTACCATGCTGTTTTTATTACAGTGGCTTTATAGTATAGTTTCAAATTTGGAATTGTTATACCCGTTGCCATGTGTCTGTTGCCTAGGATGGCTTTTGCTATTCTAGGTCTCTTATGGTTCCAAATGAATTTTTGGATTCTTTTTTCTAGTTCTGTGAAATATAGTGTTGGAATTTCAATTGGCATTGCATTGAATCTGTATAGCAGTTTTGGTAGTATGGCCATTTTCACTATGTGGATTCTTCCTACCCAGGAACAGGGGATATCTTTCCATTTTTTTATATCCTCTTCAATTTCTTTTTTCAGAGTGCTATAGTTTTCAGATCTTTTGCTTCTTTTGTTAGATTGATTCCTAGATACTTCATTTTTTTGGATTGTATTGTGAAAGAAATTGTTTCCCTTATTTCTCTCTCAGTGAGTCTGTTATTTGTGCACACATATCACTGTGGTAGGATTCTTTTATTTCTTTGGGGAAGGTACCCAGCAGGGGAAAAGTGGGGTCAAATGAGACTTAAATCCTAGTTCTTTGAGATATCTCCATACTGATTTCTACAGTTTTTGCACCAGTCTATACTCCCTCCAGCAGTGGAGCAGAGCTCCTCTTTCCCTACAGCCCCATCAGCATTTGTCATTGGTTGATATAACAGCCATTCTTTTTGGGGTGAGGTGGAATCTGAGCAATATTTTCATTTGCATCTCTCCAAAGACCATTGATGTTGAACATTTTTTCATATATCTATTTGCTATTTCTACTTCTTTGAGAAATGTCTGATCATTCCCATTTTTGGACTGGGTCTTTAAATTTGGGAGGTCTGAATTTTTTAAGTTCTTCACGTATTCTGGATAGTAGACCTTTGAGGAACAGCTGGTGAAAATTTTTTCCCACATTGTGGGTTGTCTCTTCACACTGTTGGTAGTTTCTGTTGCTGTTCAGAAGCTTTTTAATAAGAAGACATCCCATTTGTTGATTGTGCTAGTTCACAGGCAATTGAGGTTTTGTTCAAAAAAATCTTTTCCTATACCAGTGTCTTCAGGAGTTCTACCTAAGTTCTCTTCAAGCCGCTTTAGTGTTTCTGTTTTAATATTTAGATCTTTATTCCACTTTAATTTTAGTTTAGTGCATGGTGAAAGATATAGGTTTACTTTTAATCTTTGGCCAGTTGAATCCAGTTTTTCCAGCACCATTTATTAAAGAGGCTATCTTTCTTCCAGTGAGGGTGGTTGGTTCCTTTTTAGAGGATGAGGTGGCTGAGTATGTCAGAAGTTGTTTCTGCATCTTCTATTCTGTTTCACTGGTCTTCAGGTCAGTACCACAATGGTTTTTATCACAGTAGCTTTGTAATATAGTTTCACGATGGGGATTGTGACAGCCCCTATCTTGTCTTTATTGCCTAGAATGGCTTTTGATATTATAGGTTTCTTCTTATTGCAATTGAATTTTTGGATTGTTTTATGAAGGTCTGTGATGTATGCTGCTGGAATTTTAATTGGGATTGCATTGACATAGCAATTTTGCAAGTATGGCCATTTTCACTATGCTGATTCTTCCTACCCAGGAGCAAGGGTGTCTTTCCATTTTCCGATATCCTCTTCAGTCTCTTTTTTTCAGAGTGCTGTAGTTTTCAGAGTATAGGTCTTTGATTTATTTTCTTAGGTTGTTTAGTAGGTATTTCAATTTTTTGGACACTATTGTGAAAGGAAGTGATTGCCCCATTTCTCTCTGTGTGAGTCTGTTTTTTAAGTACAGGAAAGCTCTTGATTTTTGTGTGTTGGTCTTGTGTTCAGCTAC